GGGCGCGGTAGCACAGGCAGCGCTGATGCTTCCGCACAGGTGGCGCCTTCGAGGGTCAAGTCAGCTCAGCTTCTTCGGGAGTTTCCCTGTAAGGTTTTTAAAGCCTTCGGTAATTCTCAGCTTGGCTTTTCTGGGCTCCCCAGTGTGGGGGCGACTGTCCCAGCAGGCCTTGTCCCCCCCTGCTGCATCAGCGCTCTCCTGGCCCAGGTCTGTGTCTTTTCTGCTGTTGAGACAGCGAGTGAGTAGCTAGCTAGTTCCGCTTTCTACACGCATTTAACTTCTTTCTGAAATAAGGTGAAAACGCAAAATACACTGCATTAATCTAGTTGAGTTCAGCTGCTCTGTAGTGTCAGGACTGCTTTGGAATCTTCAAGGCTGCTTGTGGCCGTTTTTAGTTCGAGGCCATCAGGTCTTTTCAGAGAGTACTTGCTGTGCCCTCACCCAGGTTGCTGGTGGAGATACCGAGTAGGACTAGACTTGGGGCAGAACTTCCCAGGAATGTGTACTAAGATGCCCTCCCATTGCAACATCTAAGTATTAACTACCTGCCTCCTCTGAGAGCCGTTTTTGTTTCACAGAGTTATGTACTAGCCAGATAATGGTCACTTAAGAGGTGTTTCCGTGTCTTGTCTTTGAGAATATTGTGTAAGTGGGTATCCAGGTTTCACTTGGATACCTTGCTCATTACCTCTGTTCATTAGACTGAAAGAAGGAAGTTTGGTCGACAGGTTACGTTTCATTAATCCTTATTCAGGATGCTTAGAAATGGATTATTTAAAATAAGACTTTCTTTTAACATTATTTTAAGTTTGTAGACTTAAAACCTCCCACAGGAATATATTGATTTCATCTTTTAGCATTAGCGTTGCAAGATAAGAGACTTGTAAGATTACTGAGATAACAAAAAAATACATTGGGATTCACGTGTAACAAAGCCTATGGTCTTTTCTCTACAGTTTATATTCTTTGAAACAAAGCATGACTACAAAGAGTGATTTCATGTGATACACCATCCATCTAAACCTGCAGGTTTTTTTACTAACTACCTGAATAGTCAAAAAGTTTCCTTGTTTGGCAGGCTCAACACAAACTCTTACCAATCTGCTCTTCTGGGCTGAAGAGAATCCTGACAAGCTAACTTCAGTTTTTCAGGTTTTAATTCAGCACTTCTTGTCGTTGTGGTCTGATTTTTACTACATTCTGGAGTTTGCTGTAGTTGGTTGTTTAAAAAAATATATTAAGCAGGAAGATTTCAGAGATTTGATTAAATAACTCATCTCTCACCACATTCATACAGACAAAAGAAAAGAGAGAACTAATAGACATAGACCCATGCCATTCTGGTTATTTAAATGTGTTTAAAGTCTTTCAAAACTTACTGTCAAGTGAGCTATGGACAACTTTGACCCTGAGCCGAGTGAACATTCATGTGACCTTGTTTTTTCCTCTCCCGCAGGAAGAGGTTGACCCATCACTTCAAGCACTCGAATCCCGCCAGGAAGAGATTCTAAAACGCTTGTATGAACTGAAGAGTGCTGTCGATGGGCTCTCAAAGATGATACAAACCCCAGATGCTGACTTCGACGTAACTAACATCATTCAAACTGATGAATGTTCTCCTCTTACAACAAATGGAGCAGATTTAGATTTGATGCTTGGAAAGGTAAGTTTAGTTGAGCATATACTTTCTCTGCTCTCAGATTTTCAGAGTTGGAAGGGTGGCATTAAAACCTGCCACACTCCGAACTCGAGATACAAATAACCTACAAGTACCGTTTCATTTTGGGCATCTAGATTATAGATATGAACATTTATAAATACTAAATCCTAGATATTCTCATTTTGATATAAGTCCAAGCTAGAATGGTTAATTTTAGAATTATGACAGTTGGTTTCTTGTTTGTTACTAACTGGAAATTTTAACTTTGGCTTCAGTCATGTTTACCTTAGTCATGTTCTTGAATTACAATACTGTTGAGGAAGGAAGATGTTTAAATGTTTAAACAAGTTTTAAATGTTCAAACTTGAATTATTTAATTAGAATTCCAGATATACACAGGCATAGCTACATACATTTTGGTGTCAAATGAAAACTCTACTACTTCAAAGTCTGATCTGGACTGTGTCTTACCTGCTGTATGTCTTACTTTCCATTCAGGATTATGGTGCCCTGAAAGATATCGTTATCAATGCAAATCCTTCGCTGCCTCCACTGTCATTATTAGTACTACACAGTCTGCTTTGTGAACGCTATAAAATATTATCAGCTGTTCACATACATTCATCGGTGAAAAGTGTGCCAGAAAACCTCTTGAAATGCTTTGGAGAGCAGACTAAGAAGCAACCACGTCACGAGTATCAGTTGGGCTTTACTCTTATTTGGAAGGATGGTAAGAATGAAGTTATCTTGTAGATCAAGATTTTACAATAGGTGAGAAAATGAAACTTGTGCTATAAAACCTTGACAACAGATGTTCTGGTGTCTCTTTGCTGACACACAATGGATATGTACTGCAGATAGCTTTTTTTTTTTTTTCCCCCTCTCTTTTTATAGCTGTGAACCATGGTGGGGACAGAGGAGCAAGATTCTTGTTTGTGGTTACTACTGTTAAAATGCACGTGGCATTTACATGGTTGGTTGTACCCGCAGGGGTTTTTTATAGAATTGTTTTTTAGTTTCTACAAGTAAGTTAGCTAGAATAGAAATTAAGTGGGAGATTGGGCTGAAGTTTGCAAAAAGTGGTGTCCTTATTCCAGGTTCCTGCCTTAGACTAAGAAAACTGAAAATTGTTCATCAGGTTAATGATGATGTCAGTGATGCTAGTGTTGCTGGCATCACAAATACATCGTAGAATTACCATTACATTTAACTTCTCTACCACGTGGTATTAACGTATTGTCTTTTCTTCTCTTAATTTCAGTTCCAAAACCCCAGATGAAGTTTAGCATTCAGACAATGTGCCCTATTGAAGGAGAGGGGAACATCGCTCGATTTCTCTTTTCCCTGTTTGGCCCGAAGTACAGTGCAGTTACTTCAACTCTGATTGACAGCTGGGTTGATACAGCTATCTTCCAGCTGAAAGAAGGTAGCAGTAAGGAAAAAGGGGCAGTTTTGCGCTCTATGAATGCTGCCCTGGGCAAGACATCGTGGCTGGTGGGAAACGAACTCACTGTAGCAGACATTGTTGCGTGGTGTGCGCTTCAGCAGACAGGTAGTGCGAATGCTGCCCCAGCCAATGTGCAGAAATGGATGAAGTCATGTGAGAACCTGGCGCCTTTCAGCTCTGTTATGAAGCTACTGAAGTAAGCCTGTGTTCTTCGTAATGGTGTCGTTTCAATCTTACTCCACCTCAAGCCTGCTGTAGTGGTTTGAGTCCTTTCTGAGATGTGTTTGAGTACTACAGTTGGACAGAATTCAAAAATCAATAAAAACATTACAGCTACCTTTTGGGTGTGACCTTCCTTTTTTGTAACTGATGTAGAACATGCGTATTTGTTTAATGGTCATAAGGTACCTAAAGTAGTCTCATGTAAATACAAGCTGCACTTTTTATTTTTCCTTCTATTTTTCCCTGTAACCTAAACACTTATTTACGCAAGTTAAATTGTACTGATGAATCATTTTTGTTGACTGGAGACTTCTGAACTAAGAGAAAAAGATGAGTAAGTCTAAAGAACAGAGAGGAAAATCAAAATGCATTGAAATATTTTTATGTAAAAAAAGTTTTATATAACTTAGCATACAATAAAGGTTAGTTCTTCCTGTAGTTAAACTGGAGAACCTAGTCTCCTATGATCATCTTGTTCTTCAGAAAGCAGCCTTATTCTTTCTCTCAGTTTTTCTATTTCTTCCTCTTGCTGTCTCACCTTCTGTTGTAGGTTAAAAATAACCTGAAAATGAGAGTCAGTTTACTTCAGTTATAGACAGGCAAGCATAAAGCAGTATTAACTTATTTGAATCATGTTCACAATCCACCACAGACACATACTGCAGCACCACAGCTGTTCTGTGTATTTAATGCTACAACTTAATCCACAAAAAAAAAGCATGGCAAGGAAAGGGAAAGTGATAAAAAGATTCTGCAGAGCTGATTAAAAGCTTTTCTGACCTATAGAAACACCTGAGGCTGTATGTAAATCAACTGTCCAGTCTTCATAAAGTTACCTGTACTTAATGACCATGTATCTCATTTCAAAGACACCAGAAACACTAATATAGTGGTCTAAATACTGTAATCAGAAAAATGAGAGTCTTAAGAGGATTGTGTAATTAAGTTAAAAACAAAACAAAAACCTCTAATACAGGCAGGGAAACTAAGGGGATTTTCTCTCTCTATTTCTTTATCATGTAAAGGTTGAGGTTATGTGCATAACTTACATGTTCTGTGGTATGAAATAGTTCACTTTCACGCAGCTGAGCAGCAGTTGGTCTTTCTGTAGATACCTGACTGGTGAGGAGTTTAACGTACTTGGCTTGAATAGGCCATTTTTTGCAGAAAGCATGAGGAATTTGGCCATTCCTTAAACGTGTAAGAACTTCTGTTCTTTCCATTTCTGTTCCAAACGGTTGGAAGAGTTCTAGCAGGATAACGCCCACACTGTACATGTCTGACTGGTAATCGAGTGAAGAAAAAGTTTATTTTTAATTAGTTACTAGATTTCTTTTTCTCATAAAAAACTCATGATATGAAAAAGTTTCATGACAAGGAAGTTTCATGATGATAGGAAAAGTATCGTGACACTACTAAAGGAACACATTCAAATCTACATGGACTTCCCAAGGTCATCTTAGAAACAAATAATTTTTGTATTAGTAGCAAACTAGAAAGCAAAAGTTGAAATCCATGTTTCAACAAAAACATTAGGAGTAACAGTAGGAGGACTATTTATGTATTTACCAAATAATATGTATTTACCAACCGAAAGGCTTGTTTTATTCCTATTATCTATCATCATGTGTTAATAGAAAAAAACCCAAACATACTCCCTACCTTGAAATCATAGTGAGATCCCTGCAGCTGTTCTGGTGAGGCATAGAGGCACGTTCCCACGCCTGAAGTATGCTTCAGTCCTTTAAAAAGGCAATTTGGACTCAGCTAGAGTTACATTGTTACCAGTTCACTTAATTTATCATTTAATGGTTTTTAATATCATGGAAACTTAAACACTGAAACCCACTAAGCTTTTTTTGTCCTACCATTTATCCTTTCTGTCTTAAACCACTGGTCTGCATCATCCCAAAGAAGGTCTTTGCAGGCTAATCCAAAGTCTCCTATTTTTACGTGATGATCTGATCCATGTAGGAAAATATTTCTGGGCTACAAAACAAAGACAGTATAAAATCTATATAAAGAATTATAAAATTTCAGCTGTTTCAAAGTCTATAAAATCCTGTGCTTCACAGGTATCAAATAATAATTAACACTTTCATTAGTGAGAGAGAAAAAAATAGTTAAAGCTAATACCAAATTACGTGTTAGCAACACCATTTGGGCAGAAAGACCACATATGAAGGATCTAGAAAAAGGGAAAAAAAGCAAAACAGGAAAAACCTATTTAGTGGAAAGTAGTATTTTTTTCAGCAGAAAACAGGAAATTTGCAGGACAGTAATGGTAACAGGAACAGGCAAGAGCGGACAGCAAATTAGACTAACTGATGTAGCAGGAAGGAGGACTAAACATCATCTTTGAGCTAGACATTATGTAAAACTAATACTCTTTTCTGTATGATAAGCACAGCTGCAACATGCTACTTGGTTCTGGGAAGTTACTATAAAAAAAAAGTGATGAGAGACTTGAGTAGAGAGCACTGACTGGAAAAACTGAAATAGTTTTATCCATATGTTTTGGCTTTAGGACCACTAAGGACGAGAAAAGATAGCATTATGTATCTCGAAAAAAAGACATACTTGCCAGATAAAAGAAAATAGGAAAATATTGGGTTTACTTAAGTCTGTATCACAAGGTTTCTGAGCTTAGGTACGTTTGGATGAGAAGTGAAAGCACTATTGCTTAGTACAGGTCTTTTTCCCACTAACTAGAAATTAGGACTAGTAAGAAAGCAAAGGCAATTTAAGCCTTTCTTTTTCATTCTTAAACTTTTGCTGGTTTTATAATACATTTTGAAATATTGCACTGAATAATGCGGTTACTTCAAAGCTATTCTTGAACCAGTCGTCCTGCAATATCTCAAAGAATGACACTATTTGAGTACCAGATTCCAAATCTATTCCTGATTACAGATTTTCATTACAAAAATTACAATTCCCTTGTCTATGAGTAACGTAATCAAAAGAGCCAGTAGGCCTGCCACTGTGTTTTCCTGTGGGCAGAGGAAACAAAATTCAGGCCATGAAGAGCTACATGAAGTACTAATAGAAGATGACAGTGCTGTTAAAGCTTTACTAGCTGACCATCCTGCCAGTGAAACAGTGAGTGCCTGGAAGGACCCTTACACCTCACAGACCTGTTCTCTCTCTAGGTAACCACTTGATCAGGACTATAATTTGTGATCAAAAATACTTTAGATTAAGAAATCTTACATTTTTTAAAAAACAAACAAAAGAGGGAAGGTCCCCACAGAGATCACTAGTTTAAAGACGTAAAAGAAAGGATAGGAATAAATGGTCAGCTTTCAGTGAAGGGTATCATCAACTGATTCTTGTATGAATCTGTGCTGAGAACAATGCTGAACAACATATTTGTAAATGGTTAGAAAAGGGAGGATGAATGGTGAGATGACAAAGTCTGCTGGCATTATTCAGAAACCAAGATGAGGTCTGAATGCAAAGAACTGTGGAAGGATCTTGCAGGAAATATAATGAGAAAAGGAATTCAGTGCAAATAAACACAAAAATGTAAACGAAGGGAAAAACAATCCCAATTTTCAACATGTAACAACTGTCTCTGAGTTGACTGTTACAGCCTAAGTGTGGTGTCACCACAGATTGCATCTGTTTGCTATTATATAATGGAGCCAACGTAATCACCCAAGATCATGAAGGACCAACAGTATTCATGAGGCCTGCTCAGGTGGCAGAAAGGAAATAGTGGATCTTCTGTTCCAGTATAAACCAGTTAAACAACAGATGGGCAATCTCCACTTCTCATTTCTTTAACACAGCTGAAATTTAAAAGATACAGCAGTGCTGAACAAGTTGCTAGGCTCCTCATAGGCACTGACGTTACAAGACCATCAAGGACACCTGCCTATGGACTTCTGTTCTCAGAATTTCAAATACTGAGAGACTTTCTTATAACATTATCACAGAAATTACTGTCCCTGCAACACATCTGTAAAATCACTGTTAGAAGAATATATGGTGAAAACAATGAGCACTGGCTCAAGAACAGGCTCCCAGTAACTTTATGGAATTCTTTATACAACTACCAAGACTTCACACAGTAAGGCCATGATGACACTAAACAGGAAAGCACACTGAAAAACTGTTGACCCTGAAACAGTCAGCAGAAAAATTAAAATTAATCCAGAGCAAAGACAGTGTGTTTTCAAGTATTTCCAAGTTTCCACGCATGGAGTTTTAAAGACGATTTTTACATTAATTTCCTTACGTAGCTACTGTATCAGATGCAGAGAACCTCCGTAGGAAGCAGAGTAGGAAAATGAACATTCACTTCCTTGCTATTTGATTCCATCAGTTTAAGGGTGAGGGGCAGGCAAAGTACATCTATCTATGCTTCACATTTAAGCCAGTCAGTAAGTCAAAACTATTCTTGCAGTTCCAAAAAAACTTCACAGGAACATATAAAGGGCATTCTATTCTAATAATTCAAAGTGTTATTTTTTTAAGTCTGTTCTTCAATTACTTTTAATAGGAATGAATCCAAAACTTTTAGTTCAGTCACTAACGTCACCTACAACTTCAGTCCCTTAGAGGAGATAGCAACCATTTTGAACGACAGCAATTACTTGCAAGTGAGGGATTTTTTTTTTTTTTAAACCACGTAACTATAACTTGAACATATTTTCAAAAGCTAAGTGATATGCTGTAGCAAACTGAGGTGCAGTCAAGATGCTTTGCTTATTTTTATAACTACCTAAAGAAAATTTTTTTAAGTAATTAGGTAATTTAGGTCCTACTCTGGTCAAGCAAAGATTAAGACAAAACAAAACCAATCTAACCATCCCTGTTTAAGACAAGAAAATGGCTTCACAAAGGAGAAGGCATTTCCAGATCTTAATCATAATTCACTTGTAAGTCAGTGTAACTGAGTATTACGCTCCTAGTAAAGAAAGTATGGTGCTGGTATAGAGGAGACAATGTATTTTTTCATATGGAACACAGCCAAATTCTTAAGAGCCCAGGTCATCTCAAACTGAACTATGAAGTTGCTTTCATTCTCCCATAATGTGAGTTACCTTTGTTTTCTTTAACCCTAATAATTTGATGAACTTACTTTAATGTCTCGATGCATCACTCCCATGCGGTGGATATAGCATATTCCTTCTAATAACTCTTGAAAAATTTTCATTGTCCAGTAGACATCCACAAGATGGTATGGACCTTAAAACAATTTAAATTATTTCAGCTAATTTGACTGAGTTATTTAAGTTTATGGTCTTGTTGAATTCTGTTTATTATAAGGTAGAAGAAATTTTTAACAGAATGAGCATAGTTTAAAAATGGAATTTCCCATGCTTTTCTTAATATTTTTGAAACACTAAATAGTCACTAACCTCAAAATTCCAAAAAAGAAAGTTCAAGGGACATGAACACGTCTACCTGAAAAGATTTCTCCAAACTCCATCAGATAGTGTTTTCTGTATTGATTTACACCCTTCCTTTTTGGATACGAATCCTCCTGCTGTTGTGCTACCCTCTGAAATTCCCAAATGCCCTCTGGCTGTAGCTGTCCTAAATAAACTTACCATCTCATTGCTTTTACCATTTCCCACATTATTATTTTATTAAACTACACTGTGTTCCTGCTCTAATGACCCAGATGTAACATATCTGTTGCCACTTTGAACATTCACCATTTACTCCTACACGAGTTTCTATTAATGTCTAACCTATTATAGCATTCACCTTTCCTCTCCTTCGCCTATGAAAACATGTGAAAAGGGTATTTTGCAAGGTCAAACACCTAGTAGTTCTGTCATTCCCTGACCAGGATGTCATCTTTCAGCTTATGAAAGCTAAAAAGACTATGATTACAGAAGATTAGTGGAAGTCAGCTACATCACATCATCTACCTGGTCTTGTCCAAAGCATTTGATAACCTGGTGTAGTGGAGGGTGTCCCTGCCCAAGACAGAGGGGTTGGAACTAGATGATCTTTAAAGTCCCTTCCAACCCAAACCATTCTGTGATTCTATGATAATAGTTAGCTACTAAACCTGACTCCATGACTGAAGAGAAAAACAGATTTATATTAAAAGCATTTACAACTAAGATTAAAAATTAATCATACAGTTTATGTTTTACAATCTGTTAGGCATATGCTTTTTTTTTATACAACCACCCAGAGAAAGGAACATGTCTAGGACTAGACTTTTTCTTCCAAATGTCAACAATTATTGAAGACGGCTTGATATTAAGGTGTAAGAATTCCTCTGGCCACTCAAGCAAAGTAAATGTTAAATTCTTTAGACTAATGACAAATTAGCCTGCATAAGAGTTTTCATTATTAAGAACAAACTTTAAAGCTTTTAAGTATGTGGTAACCTGACTGGAACAAAAGATGTATTTATATTTTCCACAGCAGATAAATAAGTCTGTGAAGCGCTCTATTTTGTAGCAGCAAGACTACTACCAAAGCAAAATTTCAATTATTTAAACAGCTTACTGAGAAAAAGTAGATTCTGCCAACAAAAAAAACGACTGTATTCCAACTAAGTAGCATTGCCTAGGCACAGATCTCTCCAGGTAACAACTATGCCTCAGGCACACATTCAATCTTTTTTGAAGAGTTGTCAAAAACTCACAAACTTAAATCTCTTTTACCAACATCTATCATACAAAGATGTAATACTAGCCACTATTTGATGAAGTGAATAAAAATCCAATGAAGAAGATCCATATTATAAGATGCTGAAGTAAAACACAAAATCAGGCAAGTGGACTTCCAATCAGGAAAAAAGAAATATTTGCTTTATAATTAATACATAGATTTTTAAGACAGTGATGAATCTTACTGGAAGTTTCCTCTGTTCTTTCGTTGCATCTTTTATTACGGTCAGCAATCCAATCCCACAAGGATATTTCACACAGTTGCATTTGTATAAGAAGCATCAAACGATACTCCACCTAATAGAAAAATAACGGTCCGTGATTTTGCCACTGTAATATGAACAGCTTTTCATTAGTTATTTTCTTTAAAGCTAATGAAAACAAAACTTGTTTCTTAAACTAAAGAAAGTTAAGATACCAAAATGACATCAAATACAGCATTACTAATCTACTGCATTCAAGAAGCAGATGAAAAAACCGCTATCTAGTTTTGGAGTTTTTTTGCTTGTTCCTCAAATTTTAACAATTGCCATGTGATAAAAACTAACAAAACAGCCAGCTATATACCTGAATATTCAAATTAGAGTTTAAAAGCTTTTAGACATACTGAACAGAGGCTCATTCCGGCTTAAGAAAATACCGTAAATCAATGTAAAATAGCAAAAAAATTCAACCTCTTGATATGGAATTTTATTATTTATTAACATGAATATGTAACTTCATACTCAGTTTCTGATAATGTACTAGTTCATTTGATAACCTGGACAACTGAAGCAAACACTTTTAAAATCTTGGATTTCTTGTGAGAGGGAACACCAAATGACAGGAAAAGCTTGAAGCATTGCAGAGCCGGCTGTGCGATACAAAGCATTCCAGCAGTATGAATGCCAACAAAGTTTCAGGAGCACAGGCAGAGTGGTCATTCCCTGCCCAAATCCGCTTCTCTCCTTTTCACATGTAATCCTACACTGTATAGACACCACATTAAATACCTAAACACTTTTATCCATAATATCTGAATCAGTCATCATTATTGAATACTGAAGATTTCCAACTTTGGTGGTTTGTTGTTTGTTGGGGTTTTTTTTTACTCAGGAGTAGTACTTTTTATTCATGCAGGTACTTTGAGGGGACCCAAGATGACTACCACATGGAAACTTTCTTGTATGTTGTGTTTTGCCAGCTCTTCTGGTCAGCTTCCTTGTAATGGTGTTACCCACTTAAGTAAAAATTCTCTGCATTTTTGGCATTAACTGCAGTCACTTCTTTTTTTTTTAAAATTTATCATTATAAATCATTCCTCTGCCTACCAAACTCTACTTTACAAACATCATTAAATTAGACAGCAGTTAAGTGTATTTGAAGAGAACAGTATTTACCTCAAACTCTCCACAGAGAGCTACATCATTCTTGGAGCATTCTTCAGTGCAGGATTTACTTCCAGTGCTAGCATCTTGATCCAGACTAGAATGAGGACCCCGTGCTGAATGATTTTTCACATCAGTTGATCTACTGCTAACACTACTTACAGAGGCTTCTTGTAATTCGATGGATAATCCACATTCATTTGGTTTCATACACTCTTTACTATTGCTGTTTATAAAATCACTCCTTAGATCCATATTCTGCACTAACTCACTTTTGAGATTTCCAAGACTGGTACCGTCACAGGACTTCTTTTCTTGTGAAGTAAGGTCAGCAAAGATAATCGAACTACTACTTTCCACAGTCTGAATGTGACAGTGATTACTGAAAATAATAAAGGGAGAGAATTCAAAATACGTACACAGTTTTACACCAACTATTTGTGATACACCATTCTGAAAACATTTTTTTTTTTAATTGTAAACTGCATTCCAGAGTAAGAGTTCAGCTGCTTCCCCATATAAAATTTTAGGATTACATAATTGGCAGTGTTGGCTCCAGCCTTTTTAATACCTTCTCCCAGCAGGGATTCCTGATAGCTGACCCAGACAGCTCATAGATACATACAGTCCTAGGTCACAGCACTCACTGGACAGAAGTGTGACGCATCTTCATTCCTTTAAAGTTAGGAAGTTGCACTATAACTCTCAAAAGACTCCATGTCCTTATTGAAAGGGCTAATCAACACTTCTGAGAAACAGAAGGCCCTATCACTCTGATAAAACTCCACAGTACTAATCAGTGTTGCTGACTGGCACAGAACTTTGGAAGTAAACTTGAAGCCCAGTACTACATTCAGACACTCAGAAACCAAGACATCCAAAGAAGGTAGAAGTACCCAGTAAATATTCTTCAGCTTACGCAACCAGAAGAGAAACAAGGACAAGGAAAATTAAGACTGTTTTTGGTTTTAATTTGGAAGCAAAAAGCTCTTATGCTATATATGCTGAATTCTGCACTCTTTTAATGTTACTTTTAAAAAAAGCCTAATGTTAAAGCCAAATAAATCCTTGAGATTTATAATACTTACTTGCCACTCTCTTGCTCCAAAAATAATGGCTGCAACTCCATTATTGTTTCACCTACTGGATGAAAAGATAAGTATGGTATTTACAAAACAAACCATGCATATATTTATTACAAATTAACATCTAGGCTACAGCATCTCACTAAATTTAACTTCATTAGCTGTAGATATCTTTTTTTCTACTTCTGCTGCTGCAAAAGGTGTTTCTTCCCTTTTTCTGGAAGGGACCTTTGAAGGTCCCTTCCAGCCCCAACGATTCTATGATTCTATGATTCTTAGTCTACTAAGAAGTAACTCTAATATGTTTTTAATTTTCCTTTAATTGAAAATAAAATACGTGTTGTATGAGGTCCCTGAAAGAGCTGTACTGGGCTCTGTTACATATTCACCTTTAAGAAGTCAGCCTGTTCAAAATTAGGGCGCATAGTGTATACGATAATACACAGTTAAGAAGTAACTCCACAAGGCACCATGCTTTGTATCACCCTGCTGCTGTTTTGACGACACCTTGTATTTAGGAAATATTTTTCATTAAAATTGTACATTTATGTGAAAAAGCAGTTTGTTTTAGCATACAGAAGCAAATATGAAACACCAATCTTGTAAACCAAGGAAAACCACTAAGTACTACAGGACCTACCTACAGATCTAGTTAGGTACTTACATTATCACCATTAAATACTTGTGAAGTACTCCTAGCACTAAAAAGTTGCACCCTTCCAGATTCTCAGTACCATTCGTTAAAAAGTCTTGTCTGTTCTACTGTACTGTCAACTTCTTATGCATTTTCTTTTGTGCTTATAGCTGAGTGGGCATCAAGTCACTGACTTGGAAAGCAATAAAGTTATATAGAGCATAAGCAAACCTCCCACTAAGAGAGGATCAAAAGATTTTACTGCTAAAGGCATTCCAGAAAAGGGCAAGAAAGAAACGGAACAACAGATTAGGATTACAAAAGGACCAAAGGACAAAGTGTGGGAAGAGCTAAGAACAGAGAAACTGAAAAGAAAAAAAAGGGGACAGGGAAGAAGGTGTAAAATTTATATAAACGTAGACAAGTTCTCAACAGTTACAGACAGTAGCTGATACCCAAAAAATCAGATTGCTCTGTCACTGCAGACCTGTGAAACGCAATCCATAACATTTAAAAACACTCCTATGGAAAGCAAAATAAGAGGGATTTTTTTTTTTCTATTAAAGTATTTGTTCCAGGTTCTTTCAGTTTTTCTAAACTCTTTTCCAGATGGGAAGAGAAGCATAGTAGAAAATTTATTCTAGTTTTGCTACAACTCTGAGATTTCAAAACATAGTAGCAAATTTGTGGAGTTTTTTTCTCCTATTCATCATTTTCCCCTCAATATCTGAAATACTTATCCCCAGTATTCATTCTTCTTGTCAACTCACTACTTTTTGCATTAAAATATTTTCACCGCATTCCACTGAACTTCACACAACCTTAAAATCCTCCTCACACATTACCAGAAGTGAAGCTAATACTTCCACAGTTCCAAATTCATCACTAAGTAACAGATAAGTTATTAGGCAAGAGACTGAAGCGCACAGAGGGACACGAGACCTGGCAGTCACCTGTAGTTTGCTCTTTTTTGGTTGTTTTAAGGAGGAGAAAAACCAGTTATTTTATCAAAGAAGTAATACTCTCCTGCATGTAGTAACACAGAGGTTACAAGCAGGATGCAAGCAAGAATTAACACGATATGCTATACTTTCCTTTTGGGCGTGCTGTTTGAACTTGTTCCATCCAAGCAGTGTGATAACCTACAATACTAGGATGCTGCAGCCCAGCCAGCACTTTAACTTCTCGTAGCACCTAAAAAGACCAAAAAGTAACAGTTTGACTGTCCTTTATTCTGAGTGCTGAGTAAACCCAAAAGATGACAAAAAATAAGTTTCTGACAGAGAAAGAACTGATAAAATTATTACAGTAATGGAGAAAATTTGGAAGATTTAAAACAAATTATGATTTTCATAGAGATGATCAAATTCAAGTCAATAACATGCTCCTTTTAATGGACCTAAATACCTCTCATTTACTTTTTTCTACTGGGCATTGATAAGGTCAAATCTTTAGAAACTCAGAATGCATTAAAAATTATGTTTTGGAAATATTAAGTGCATTACTAAGTTAAAGCAGAATCAGCTAGAGCAGACAGAGTTAAAAGAGATGAAATACAAGAAAAAGAATACCTTCATGCAATCTCTTCTTGTAGCCTTCTTAATGTTTATTTTTTTAATAGCATAGAACTGACCATCTAACTTGTTTCTGACCTGAAAACAATTGCAATAGGACAAAATTAGATGTTAATATGCTTAGATTCATGGATTATTAAATACTTTCGAACCAGCTATTTTCTAAGAATTAATTTATTTATGCACTCCATTCAGATAACCTCTCACCCATATCAGAGAATGAAACTAGGACTAGGCCCCAGTTGTCTAAAATAAGGATACTCTACTTTTGCCTTCTTTCAGGACTGCAAACATCTAATCCAACCTTTGTGAAATGCACAGCTTTACAGCAATCTTTCAATCAATAAAAAAATTGATAGGTCCTGATAAATGCTTAAACAGGTTCTCAATAAATCCGTGATACCACGACTGTCATTTACATATGGCACGTACCACACGGGGAATCTTAGGCTGTCCATCAGCTACGAGTATTCAACACAATTAAAATTGAGTCGGACAGTTTACCTTCATGTTCAGGCTACTTTTTTTCAAGCAGCGACAACTGGAACGTTAGGGTGTGCAGACTAATCAGTTCCTGTGGCTGGTTCAAGGCAATATATCACAACACTTCACAAGAGAAATAAGTTTTCATTCACTTTAGAAGGGTCAAAATACACAAAATAAAACATTTAATATATCCTGCTTCCGACAAACACAAAACAGAAACCAGAACAACTGAGCATCTTTTGAAATGAAATGCCAACATCCTTCACACGTGTGGGTTTGCACCTGTTCTATTGGAAAATGTGAATTTTTGTTTTCTATTAGAAAAATAAACAAAACAGCCAAAACAGTAACTCCAAATTTCAAAGAAAAACTAGGTATAAACTGCTAAGTTATAAACGGAAGGTAGGGAATACCTTGTATACTTTACCATATCCTCCTTTTCCTAGCCTTGCAATCTCATCAAATTCATTCAAGTATCGCGAAGTCTGTGCTTCAAAGAGAACTTCTTTTTCCCTAATCAAAAAAGTTAGGCTGCATTAAAGCAAATTACAGGTAAGGTATTATATGGGCTACAGGTGTAGAGAATCTAGAATTAATCATTTACATTATGAAAAGAAGAAGAAAATACTTTGACATTACCATTGTGAATACTGAAAACTAGCAGATTGCAACGGTGTACACATGTGCTACAGATCGACACTCTGTCTTAATGAAAGTATTAAGATGATTTCTTTAAGTTTATGCCTGATAAATGTTGTTTTCCTGAATGGTGGCACTAACTGTGAGAGCTGTACTGAAGAAGGAATTTTCACCAGATCGTTTTGAGAGTTTGGAGAAATTTTCACTTTTTCTATGTTTCAGAGCCAAAATATGAAATGCAGTATTAATTAAATTCAGGGTGGAGCGCAGAATTTTAGGGAGGGAGTTAAGTTTAAACTAATTCTAAATGCTTTGAATACATACCCAATTGCAAGAGAATTTCCATTATCAAGTTCCTATGAAAGAACAAAATCTAACATAAAAATATGCCATACAGAACAACAGGTCTACCACACCATCCGCACAGCTTAATCAAAACAGAAGCTACAACTATGTTCTTAGAAGAAAATGAGGTTACTGATAGCCATTCATTCTGCAGAGAGCTTCACCAAATAAAAGTATTATTATCCTACCAGTAATCTGCTAACATCTCTCAGTTGGAGAGATTACTCCCCTTTGAGAGTTCTGCTGGCAAACAGGATAAAACGAGGGCTCTAAAATGTGCTTAAGACAAAATTAACTGGCTTAGTTCAAGCAGCGAGATAAGCAAACTGGTCTGATTCAGCCTGAAGCACATTACGCAGCATACAAATTATGTCCTCCCCTAATATAAATACAAGAGTGTTAACATAATTAACTGGAACAGTTAAAAGTTGAAAATGGATGCCTGTCCATTGTCAAAAAAAGCTGTAGCAATACTCAAAGCACCTTGCCTGTGTTTGTAATGATTTTAACTTTTTTTTTTAAATTTTGTAATAAGGAACAAAATATTGCTGGCTTCAAAAGCTTTGGTTTGCACCTACAGAACCAGAACACACCATCCCAAACAGCTAAGGCAGAACGGGAGTACCGTTTTGTATAATTATTAGAAAGACGCAATCCAATATTAAAAGAACCCCCAAACAAAAGCTTCTTTGGATGCAATGATGTGTTAATTCCTTAACGCAGAGGTTGCCAAAGAAACTTAACAAAGCTTACCCCGTTAAGTATTTGCCGATTAGCTGCTTTCATTAGTTCAGTAATGGCTCTATTATGCTGCAGTCTTACAGTACTAAATTCATCACAGAAGGCAAAAGGAGAGAGTAACCCTGTTCTTGTGAAAGCCTGACGAAGTACTGTACAAAGGAAGAGAGAAAGGTCGTATTATATAAAGCCCACCAATAAGACCATGTAAACAGTTGTTTTTTAAATGAGAAACTTTATTTGAAAGAGAGTGCATTTGAAAAACTGAACCCTCACTCCTACTCTAATGTGTTCCCCATACTCTTAGCAATAAAAACTAATTAAATCCAAACTAGAGCTGCTCTGTGGGAATCTCTTTGCATAATACAGTTATTTGGCATGCCCTTCATGGTAATAACTGTGTCTCCTCTTCTTCCCTATCTCAGCAGATGAATTATACAAACATCCACCCATTCACTTGTTACCCTTGGACTAATTTTGATCAGAGAAAAGAGAAATTCAAAGCCTGTTCACAATTATAAGGACATGTTTATACTAAAAAGTTGTAATGTCAAGATTTTCTAATTCACATACAAACTCACACATTTGAGCACGCATTCATAGTAAAGAATTAAGTCGCTCCCTTCCATTCCCTCCCTCAAAGCACCACGTCTTTCTCAGTTTGAGTAAAACAACACTGTGGCAGACAAAAACGTAAAAAATACTAAGGACAGGTGCAACCGTGAAGATGCTACAAAAACATACTTAAAAGTTTTAGGAGTTCTAAGGTCTTAAACCAAACTTGGTCATAAGAGATTTTTTAAAGATGTTTCTTTCATACTGGTATTTAAAAAATCAGCCTATTACATTATGTTTTAAAGGAGATAAAATGTATTGAAAGTGAATCTACAAGAAATCAGGAATTCTGGCACACAAGCCTTATGGACACAGTTACACACACAGAAAAGTGGGAAAAACGCATCCTTGCCAACACGAATATACCAGCCAAAACCACGAAACAGATACAATTACTGCAATATGTATTGCTTTTATTCATCAGGTTTATTCTATTCGGGAAACTGGTTTAAACTATACTGATGGAGGAACGTCATTCTCCATAGTATACCAGGAAGCCAAGCAGCTACATACTTTGGAAGATGCCCAGATTGGTTTTTTTGTTCCTCTCCCAGAAGGAGGAAATTTGGTTGGATTTTTCCCCCCAATATTCTCAGGTTTGAGAGAGATAATAGTAAGACCCAGGGCCAAACATCTACATCAGACTTTGAGAATGAAAGAATGAGAGTTGTCTGCACTGTTGTTACTGGATGCTATTAATGGCTTCAATTTTAAGTACAAGCAATGTATTAGATTTTGTTTTCCACAATCATGTATAGTAAGGAGAAAAACCTTGGAGAGTGTTTCTCAGATGCATGAAGTATGTGCTTAAGTGAACAAAATACCTAAGTCAAGTCACATACAAAAAAGACAGATTGCAAAAGAAGCACTTCACACCTAAAATGCGGGAAAATAAAGGATTTACAATAGGTATTTACTCTGATTTCACAGACCATAATTTTGAGAGATTTAGTGAAGACTATGCTACAGCTATTTCTTAGTAAATATTTTTATTAAACTCCTTTTCTATCTGTGTTCTTAGATCAGATTTAACAGTTTGTCAAAACACCCTGCTACCCTTTTCACGATGCAACTCACATGATTTAGCTGGAACAGAACTGTCTGATCCTTACATTACAACCATATTCTGCCACTGTTTTCAAAAACAACACGGCTCTCCATTCCCAATTAAGTTGATTCGGAGTGTTCATCATCTTCTCAGAATCACTCTTATAATCCCAAGGGGATGAGACCTACAGCTTTGTATTGATATTACACTGCAATTCTGCACAGAAGAATCAGGTATATATTTTTTCGGTACGGCAGTTTAAGAGACAGGAAAGAACTACTCTTACTAACTTCGGAACAAACACCTGGAATGAACGGGGTTGTGCGTGTACATGTGGCAGAGATGCTCCAGCAGCGACACGAGCAGCAGCTGATTTTGGATGGTCGAAGTGAAGTTCACAAACTTTTGCGACCCGTTTGCAACTCGCAGCTCCGCCGGCACATCCGATTCTGGAAAAGGACAGTCAGATGGATGAATCCAGGTCTCAGCATATGCCTATTGTACCAACACATCAAACCCACGAATGAACCCAGCCAGCTTC